AAAAGATTTTCATGTAAAATTGCTAATACCTAGGTTTAAAAGTATTAAGTTTTAGTCACTTGAAAACGAATTCATCCACAATATTGAATTTCATACTCCTGCCTAATTAATAAGATGTCAAAAATGTTTTCCCTAAGTCCCACCTTTTTTCTAGGATTTAGATTTTTATATTTCTAATTTAATTTTACTTGTAGAAAATCTGTCATTTCTTCTCATAGACTATAAAAACTTTGTATCTATGTGTGACTCTCTTTCTTTTTAACCAAAGCCCTCTACGAAAAATTATTTGTGGTTGGAAGCAAGCTACTTTAAAAGCAAAAGGGAAAAAAACCGATAATTTAACCAATGAAGTATTCTTAGACACCCACCCAATCACATCTTTTTTGATAGTTATATAATTCATTAATCTGAGAATCTTTAAATGACAATATAACCTCTTTCTCCCAGCCACAATTTTTAAGAGAACAAACTTTGATATCAGACAGATCTGGATCTGACTCCCGGTTATCTCGTACACATGACTTTGGGTAAATCTCTTAACCTTTATAACCCTCAACCTCCTCACATGAAAATTGGTATAGTAATAGTACCTATTTCAGAGGTCTAGTGAGGATTACATTAAATTATTCATGCTTTGGTACAGGGCACGGAACACACAAGAAGCTATTATTAGTGTTACTGTTGTTATTAATATTATTTCCACTTATGCTATCCTTAGTATCCTCAGGGTGCTAGTCTTATGAAACTGCTTAATTTACAGCATGTAACTATAAAAACTGATTAGACTTTTAGCTCACACCTGAAATCCTAGCACTTTGGAAGACCAAGGCGGGAGGATCACTTGAGCTCAGGAGTTTGAGACCAGCCTGAGCAACACAGCAAGACTCTATCTCTACAGAAAATAGAAAAATTAGCCAGGCACAGTAGTGCACACCTGTAGTCCTAGCTACTTAAGAGGTTGAGGCAGGAGGATCTCTTGACCCCGGAGTTTGAGGCTCCAGTGAGCTATGATCACGCCACTGCACTCCAGCCTGGGCAACACAGCCAAATGCTGTCTCAAACTAATAATAACAATCTATGATTTGGGAGTCAAATCCCCAAATCAAGCATCAGATAGTAATTCAAATAAAAAAAATAACAGTAATTATGTTTTATGGGTATATTTGAGGGCTTCCTATGAGTAGGCCAATACAATTTCAAGACTGATAGCTGAAAAACCTATCATATGGTCCTGAAATTAAGAACTTTTAAGGAAAATAATGAGAAATACAACCAGTTACACAGTCCATTACATAAAATTTCCTTGGGTACAACTTAGGCAGCTAAGTATTGATTGAAATAAAGCACTAAATGAAATTTCTAATTAGAAATTTTATTTGTTTTATTCTAACTTAGTGTTAAAGTACACAAAAATCTGAGCCACTTAAGCAAAACAGTAATGAAAAAATAAAGCATATGCTTCTGAAAATGGGTCTGCCTAGATGAGCTTGCTACTCATTAAAAAAAGTTGGATCCATGACAAAGGCAACTAAAGAATATCCTTGGACTCTTATGTCCCTAGTGTATACAGTGTTCTGGAAGAGACCAATGATCACAGACCCTATCAAAGAGGAAGTCAACACTATTCAAAAATAGCAAGAAAAAGTGAAATCAGCTATAATGTATTCTTAATGTATTCTTCTGAAGCACTTATTTTTTAAGGAGACTTTTAAGCTTAAAGTATTTGAATGTTACTTAAAGAGGCAAAATTAATTTTCTTGATTTTCATTACCAATCATTTTTTAATAAACATGTCTGTGACTTTTTTTTTTACTGTTGCAACGTTATATTAACCTTTTCATCAATTTGAATTATCCTAAGAGTTACATATATCTTTGTATGGACAGTTCCTTCCATCTGGAATAACCTTTCTAGACTGCTTTTATTCATACTCTGGGAAAATCCTATTCATCTTCATGACTTAGGCTGAGGGTCACTACCTCAATATAAAACTTCCCTTAGTCTTTCTCCCCACATCCTTGAAAGTAGGCACTATAGTCGGCCCTCTACATCCATGCGTTCCACTTCTATAGGCTCTCCATCCATGAATTCAACCATCTAACAACGGTTTACATAGCCTTTCCATTGTATTAGGTATTAGTAATTTAGAGACGATATAAAGCATACAAGAGGATGTGAGTAGGTTATATGCAAATACTACACACCATTTATATAAGGTACTTAAGTATCTGTAGACTTTTGTATCTGAAGGGGGTCCTGGAACAAATCCCCCATGGATACTGAGAGATGACTGTACCAGGAAATCGTGTATACTTCCATTGTAGGAATTATCACGTTTGACTGTTAACTGTTTGCTTGTCTGATTGCCCTACTAGGTTGCATCCTTGAGGGCCCAGAATCAGACTAACATACAGCACTTGTTCAATAAATTTTTAATGATTAAATGGAGACATCAACCATCTTTTCTTTCTATTAATATTTAACATGGTACACTACCTAGCATAGTATATATTCTCAAAACATTTAATGATTGTTAGACTGCTAACAAGAAAGGTGAAATAACTTTTGAAGCATGGCATCCAATAGCTATTTGCTAAATAAATGAATAAAAACACACAATGGTAAAAAGAAAAAAAATCAAATTCATCAATAAACAAGTTAATTCCAACTGGGAATTGTTTTCTCAGTATCATTTGGTAAAATAAAAATAAAAATAAAATTGTGCCATCAGACTTGAGCAAAAGAAGTTTTAGCTGGCTCCCCAAAATCTGATACACTACTATCTCCACACTATAAGAGGCTTGAGGAACATTTAAAAACCAATTAATCTTGGTTTTCATCTACTGGTTATGCTAATAAATCATGTTTATATGTTTCTATCCTTTGACGTTTCAAGTACCATGGACTCAACTATGATTTTGTAGACTAAACAGATCTTTAAAAACAAAATATCACTGGGTGGTTTTATAATATTAAGAAAAGTAACTTACCTTATTTTTCCTGTTGTCATTGTACTTGATTAAGTCTAAAATAAATGTTAAGACTTCTTTGGGACAAAGGTTATGAACATCTCTTAATAAAGCCATTGCAACTGGCATAGTCTACAAAAAAAAAAAAAAGACATAACCTAACTTTTCCATTTTCATTACTACAATCCATTGAAATATATACAGAAAAGGGTTACTCTGTGGTTGACACAGGTATCTGGATGGAGCCTTATCCTTCTACCCCCCACCCCCTTCCACTGAGAATGTTAATCTCAAAGCCTAACAGAAGAGCTGGGCAGGAAACCAAGGGCAGAGCTGCATGACGACACACTCTGCAGGCCATGTGTCTTGGTCCTCATTTGGTGGAGGAAATACACATAATCTAAATTGTATAAATTCACTTCCATGTGATTTGGTGGAAAGGGTATGAATTTTAGCAGTAGACAAACCAATATTCAACTCCAAACTCTACTACCTACTAAGGTAGATGTCTTTAGCTAGTTGCTTACTGAGTAGAAGCCTCATTTCCTCACAACCAGTTTTAGGATTAAATGATACAGTAGCTAGAGTCATGTGGCATATGGTAGAGCTCAATCATCAGTCTTAGAACATACTGATTCTCCCAACACCCAAATCTCAATCCAAGGAAAAATGGCAAATTATCTGAAATCCAACCTAACTTTCTCCTTTCCAAATTTTCATAGGTAACTTTTCAACGGAAGTAGAAACATGACTCATACACAGTGCTAACTCCATCAGTAAAACACAGCTAACTAAATTCTAGGCAGAACCGCAGATGAATAGACTTCTTAGTCCTTAGCACATGGGTAGATATGGACTATCCACTCTTACTCAAAATAACTGCACCCTCTAAATTGAAGGTCAGAAAGGAAGATGGCTCATTTGCTTGCCTAAAGGAACAGAGGCAAGAGCAACAACAATAGTCAACGTTAATGCTATAAGAACAACTGAGGGAAAGGCTCTTTTCCATAGAAATATGTGTCCTATGCCTTATTCTGCCCTTTTGGAACTCAAGTTTGATTTAGGCACCAATCCTCTCTCTCTCTTTCCTGCCCACTAGAAGTATTATATAACAGGTAAATTGGTCTAAAAGCATTGACTTTTTAACTTTTTTGACAGCAACTCAGAGTAAAAAATACACTTTATAACTCAACCTAACATACATGAACACACTTCACATGCAATGTATACAAACAAATAAAACCAAAAAAGCCTTATACTTACCCTCATCACACGTGAAGCACCGAGATACTGCCTATTTTGTTTTCTTTTATTTTAAAAAACGAACACAAACTTCTAAATTGATTTCATGACCCCCTCACTAATGGTTCACAACTCCAATTTGAAACATTGATCTAAGGTACATGGAAGCACAAGGGCATAATGAAGGGGATGTATTAAGCAGACACAGAAATTAACTTGTTTCCAAACCATAAATTAGTGAAACGGCGATACAGAGTTGAGCAACACTTTTAAGTACTATCCAATGTTCAGTTCTTAAAAATAAAATAATAGGATGCCACAGACTTCTTTGATCATACCAGTATAACCTTTCTCCAACCTGGATCATCCTGAATCTGTCCTGCTGATAAATTTGCTATAAATATATCATGACTTCCACTCTTAACAGGCCCCCCCAATGCTGCTGTGCACTCTTTTTACTTTTCCTTCTATCATACATAAATTTCAGCTTGCCCAACACCCCCCTCAACATCTATCTTTTCACTTGTTTTTAATCTGCATTCTAACCACCTCCGAAAAAGGTATGTTCTTATCTTTCCTAAAATTTACTTCCTTACTGGGCCCTACCCACTACTAACACCAGAACTTGGTCCCTCTTCTCTCTTTTATATTTACTTTCTCCCACTTGACTATTCTCTCTTTCCCTCTTCACTGTGCCAAACATGCTTCAAATTTCTTTTTCCTCTGTACAAAACAAATCAAAAAGGTCCTTTTATCAACCTTGCTTTATCCTCAACATAGTCACCTTTCTCATATTCTTCAACTAAAATCATGAAAGAATAGGCTTCATTAGTTTTCTCTACTTCAACTTCACTCTTCCTTTCTAGTTCAATCTAGTTAATCTGATCTCTGCTATCATTATTATTAAATTATTCCAAAAACTACACAAGGCCAGGCGCGGTGGCTTCACGCCTGTAATCCTAGCACTCTGGGAGGCCAAGGCGGGAAGATCGTTTGAGCTCAGGAATTGGAGACCAGGCTGAGCAAGAGCGAGACCCCGTCTCTACTAAAAAATAGAAAGAAATTATCTGGACAACTAAAAATATATAGAAAAAATTAGCCGGGCATGGTGGCGCATGCCTGTAGTCCCAGCTACTTGGGAGGCTAAGACAGTAGGATCGCTTGAGCCCAGGAGTTTGAGGTTGCCGTAAGGTAGGCTAACGCTACGGCACTCACTCTAGCCAGGGCAACAGAGTGAGACTCTGTCTCAAAAAAAAAAAAAAAAAAAACTACACAAATGATTTCCAAATCACCCAAATGCTAACCAGCCTGTCATTCCCATATCCTTTCCTCAAATAGTGACTCTAGCCATTCCACATCACTACTTGCTAAATTACCATCTACAGAAAACTTACTACGTAATAAGTATAAAACACTTTACATACTTGATCTTAATTCTAAAAAAGATAAATTTTATAGTTGAGTAGACTGAAGCTTAGAAGGTTAAGAAACTTGTCCATGATGCAAACTGCTAGTGAGTAACAGAGCTAGGACTAAAACTAGAGCTCTATGGACTCAGATGTGCTGTCCACATTCTAGAAGGACTGCCATCAGAAGGGCTTAATCGCCTCTCCATACCCCACGTAATCGACCAAAAAGGCAAATTAACCATTTCTATTCACTTTAGTACTAACACGGACAGTGAGTTACTTATATAGAGATCATAAAGTCAATGAACAATCACTTAAAGTTTTGGAAAAAACTTTAGATGCAAAAAAAGAACAAAGGCAAAGAAAGTAAACACACCTATTATTTGAACAGTCTCCAAGTTAAACTGAGATATATAAAAACCACCATGAGAGAATTAGAAATAAACTGTACCTTCTGTAGAAAATAACTTTGAAAGCTCATAAAGTTGTTTGTTTTCACAATGTTTGGACAAGTTTTACAGCAAAACATTCTAGTAAAGAGTGACTTCATGGCTGGTGGTCCTGTCCATGTGCTCACCATTGAATTTGCAATCTGCAAATCATTAGAAAATGAAATAATTTCCATCGCCACTGCAAACATTTTTAAATAAACAGCTTTCTAAAAGTTACTGATACTATAACTGGATTAGTTTTTAACAATTTCAATTTTCAGAAATTTAATACAATTTAGCATTTTATCACCATTTTTAAGAAAATATACAAATTCACCCTCCAAAAAAATTCTTATGCGTACTTATAATTATTTACTACAATTTCTAAATTACAGTATTTTACGTTTTAAGAAAATGTGTGCAAAATACTTCTATTTGGAATTAAAATCTGTCTTTATTCACTTAGGCAGATATAATTCTAATATTTTAAATTTATCAAACAGAAACAACACCATGGATTTTAAAGGTTTTTCAATCTACCCTAATTGAAAAACAAGCCAAATGCAGTGCGCTACCATTTAAGGCTTTACAAAAAAATCCACATGTTGCTACTGATATTTTTAGGGAATATAAAAAACATGCCTGAAAAGAAAGAAATTATAATTAACTTTTAAACAACATATTCTACAACTTTATGGATCTGCTGAAATCTTAGTATGCAAGGATCACAAAGATCTTTATAGAAGCAATGAAATTATATCCTTAGCGAATGATTATCTAAGAAAATTATTGTTTTTCCTCATATATCTGAGAACATAGGAATTCAACTACTCATTTGTTATCATTAAAAATAAAACAAATCTAAACCATTATAATTTGTAGAAACATAAGACAAACGAATTTACAAGTGAGGAATGCAAGAGTCACTAAATGGGAATGAACCTATTATCAAGATGCTTTTTAAATACCTGGAAAATATAATTTCTGGCCAAAATTTTGTCTGCATCTTTCTGGTTTTCATTTGTTCAACTTTCATGTTTTTTGCATATAAAGAAAAATATTTGGTTTTCCTAATAAATTAACTTTTCTAGAATGTTAAATTATAGAGCCTATCATTTTAAATTATTTACTGCTAATATTGATTACTAAGCCCAAATCAATGGAAAAAATTACCACACTGAGAAAATTAAGATTACTGATCTCATGTACTATAATGTAAAATATCACTCAAGCCAAGGAATTTCTTACCAAATATATTCTTTGCTTTAAAAATGAGGTTGGCAATTCAATAAAATGGTAAAAATTTTCTTTGATTTTAAAATCTAACTTCTCAATTTGACAATTATAGAACTTTTGTGCATATCTATTTTCAGGTCAAAACATGTTTCTTTCAAAACAGTCCTGTTGAAAGCATTTGGCGAAAGCTTTCAAAGAATCAACTACCAAGTAAATTTAAAGACTATATGAATTTTAATTCATTTTCAGAGGTTTTAAAAAGTATATATAGTAGTCATCTTGTTTCCTTTCTGTTATATATAATCTCACCTTTGCAAGGCAGAAGCAAGCTGACATTCTTACTCGGTAGAAACACTGCTCTTGTTCTAAAATATCAGTGAGAGCAAGCCGAGACGCTGGAGTAGGGAATTTCTCCAAGGCCAAAATGGATTCCTGCTGTGCAACAACGTCCCTCTCATAGCGGAGCTGATACTGCCACATAAAATCAGCTTGCTCAAATTCTACCTTCCTCAATACTGACATATCTGGGTCTATCCTTATCCACAGCAAAGGGGAATCCGCACTGAAAGAAAATAAAATTTTCTTTTTTATTTAACTTTGAAAACTTATAATCTATATATTTAGAGGAAAAAAAACAAAGGATTTATTAACCAGAATTTAGATATAGTATTCAAAGCTGCCTGGAGTTTTACTGTATCATTTTTTTAAATTGCACTGACAAACTTCTCATTAAGTTTAATATATTTCAACTTTCTCACAGTGCCTAATCTACATCTATCTTGCTGAAAAGATCTTCAAGGATAAGAAAACAGTTGCCACAAAGGACACTGAACTGTTCATTTTCTATCTGAAAATGTTATTTTTGGGATTTTGATTTGTGATTATGTGATATGAAAAAAGAGAATGAGACAAATTTCTTCATTTAACTTTCTATAGCCTCAATAATTGACTGTGGCTATAAATACCACCCTTTATTGGAAATCAATCTGTGACTAAGACAGCATTTATTTTACTAAAATAATTTGTTCAGATTTTTAAAGCTTTTTAAAAATGCTAGAGTCATGATCACCTTTTTCAAACAGCAAGTTCTAAAATCATAATTTGGAGGCATATCATAACTTTATCCTCATGTACTTCTTACAGTAATAAGCACAGTTTAAAAAATTTAGTCTATGTCCACACTTTCATCAAAACAATACTACCTATAATATTAATTCACCTCAACAAATACTACTGGGTACTTACTATAGGCATAGTATTTGCTATGGAAAAATTAAAATTAACACTGATCTTGAAGGGCAAGATCAGTGAACATAATCTGTATATAAATAGTAGCAATAATTTGGCAACCAAGTTAGTAAATAATTATAGATGTTTTATAAAAAAATACACAGGCACAGAATGGATGGGCAAAATATGAAAGTTTGAACATATTTTATTTAAAAATAAAACACTCTTGCCGGGCGTGGTGGCTCATGCCTGTAGTCCTAGCACTCTGGGAAGCCGAGGCAGGCAGATCGTTCTGAGTTCAGGAGTTTGAGACTAGCCTGAGCAAGAGCAAGACCCCGTCTCTACTAAAAATAGAAAGAAATTGGCCAAACAACTAAAAATAGAAAAAAATTAGCCAGGCATGGTGGCACGTGCCTGTAGTCCTGGGAGGCTGAGGCAGGAGGATTGCTTGAGCCCAGGAGTTTGAGGTTGTTGTGAGCTAGGCTGATGCCACGGCACTCGCCCCAGGCAAGAGAGTGAGACTCTGTCTCAAAAAAAAAAAAATAAAATAAAAATAAAACACTCTGAATCAATAAATATTACCACATAAAATTTAGAACAGTGGTTTTTAAATTGTTCTGCAAACACAGGGAGTCTCAAAGTGCCCTGGAGTCTTGTTCTAAAGACAAATAGAATCAGTGTCACCTGGGAGCTCATGAGAAAAATGCAACCTACCAGGCTCCACAAGTGAAGTACTACATTAGAAACTGTATTTTAACATATCCAGGTGATTTTACATGTGTGTTATAGTGTGAGAAGCACTGCTCTAGGCCAAGAGAGAGCAAAAAAAGCTGCCTGTGCCCACCTCCACAACCGTGATGAATTTCCTCTTAATTTCACCTAGGCCAAGGCAGACTTACTTAATCTCTTTGATTAGTTATGACTTTATGTAAAACTTGTTCTTAACGTAGGATTTCTATTTATTTTAAAAAGTTTTAAAAGCACTCATTTGGAGGAAAATTACGTACTTTTAGATATAGCATAACAAATGAGACAAATGAGAATACAGAAAATACTGTATCCTTAAATTTAACTAACTTACTCCATTGCAGAAAGATCCATATCAACTTCTTCTCCATTCATCAGTGGGATTTTTTTCTTTTTATTCCTATATTTAAGGAACAGTGAGTTTGAAAATTATGAGATTTCCAATTCTGTATGGAGACTGAGAACAGCTAAAGTTTAAATAAAGGATTTCAGAGGGTAGGAGGGTAGATGTGGGATAAAAACTTACCTGTTGGGTATAATGAACACTATTCTGGTGATAGGCACACCAAAAGCCCTGACTAAAGCATTATACAAGATATCCTGTAACAAAATCAATTACACCCCCTTAATTAATATTTTCAAAAGAAAAAAAAAAAAACAAAGGATTTCACACAACACTGAAAGATATCCTAAGGAAAAACAGATATCAAATGTAATGAAATTTAAAACACAACACAATCTGTCTATTTTGAAGCTGGAGGGAAAGCAGTAAATATCAAAATCTTTTTCTGATCAAATTTTAACACTAAGCAGAAATATATAATTAAATATCAATTTAAACCATATATTCCCAAGAACTGGTAGCTGCAATTTTACATTGAAAAGAGAATCTAACAGTAAAGAAATCCTTTATAACAAATGGAAAAATGATGGGGCTTGAAATGAGATGTGAGTAATTCTGAGCTGTGTGCCACATGTGCAAGGCTTTGTCCCATAAGAAATGAAGCGATAAATAATAAAACATCTTAAGAGTATTAAGATGTAAGACTAATTAATATGCACAAAATTTAAGATAAGCAAACACAAAAGCAATTATTCCTATCTAAATTACTCCTATCTCACAAAACCTAGTAGATAATGTTCTAAAAACTTAGGAAGGGCAGAGAAAAATAGAAACAGAGAACAAAGTGTTCCTGTGTTCCTCGTACCAAAGAATACTCAAATGACACACTATTATTATAGAGAAAAAAAACCCAAGGGTAGCAATCAGATGTTCCCAATTTCTGAGGTAGACAGGACAAAAAGAAATGGGGATTTCACTCTGAATTAAGAATTTTCGCAGAGTAAGACTTACAGAAAGATTTCAGAATCAAGTTTTCTCAAGTCTTTCAAAATTAATAGACATTCTCATCTGCTTGAGATGAACTATTCTGTTCCTGAAATGCTGCTATTTCTCCAGCAAGTACAGAAATGTTCTCATCTTTCACTATTCAGAGTATATACTAATTGCTGAGTTAAATAAGTGGTAAAGGAAAAATACATTAAATAAAAGGTGAACTGTTGGACATTTTTGAAGTAAAGTGGCAATTTGCCACTGAAAGACATCAAGAATGTTCTGCAGAGGCATGCTGATACAGAGAAGGAAGAGGAGACATAATAAATAAGATGCAGGGGCTTTTCATGACATATTCAGCTCTTTAATCATAATTTTGCTAATATTCCTATAGATACTAATCCAACAAGACTACAAAGAATGAACTTAAGCTGTACATCTTTAACCTTTCCTGGATCCAAAGACTCAAACTTCCATTCTATCCCCTTACCCTCTCCCTTCCTACAAAATAAGGATTCTCAAACCTAAATTTTAAAAATCAATTATTTAATTCTAAAGATAAAAATGTCATCAAAACATAAAGGAAACAAAGAATGTTTGGCAATGCTAACTTGAAGTAAAATGGTGAAAAAAGATATTAGATAACATGCTCTCTACCTAAAAAATTAGGTATACAACAAAATTTTATTTTGGCACTTTAATCTGTAGGACTTTCAGTTTATAGTTATGATTTAATGCCTACCTTCTGCTTTTGGAATGGCAGGGTATATCATGTTTAAGGCTGTTTTCTTCAATTTGCAATGTATGATTGAAGGATCCATCTAACTCTTGTACTGTCACTTTAAGTGGTCCCTTGAAAGAAAAAAAAAAATACTGCTAAAAGATGTAATAGAAAAATACCAATATGTATGCTTATGTGAACAAATAGCTATATATCAAGATATAAAACAATATTACACAAAATGTGTATTTGGAGACAAAGGCAACTAGTGCCAAAGAAGGGGGGAATGGAGAAAATTGGGAGAATCTGAATCCCTTAAAATCTCTAGCTGTACCTCCTCTTCCCTTCAATTGACAAAGTCAATGTTTTCTCAATTCATTCTCTTTAAAATCTCATTATGAAACATCTAAGTAGTAACCCCGCCACTTAGCCCTTCCTAGATTGAAACTGGGAAGACAGCAGTGCAAAAGGCCACTTCAAAAAGAACATTTACCACATATTTCTGAGTTCCAGGAGATGTATAATCTTGTTTTATTTCCAATTCTAACACATTTCGTTTTCTATTAAATGCAAAACTTCCATAAAATTTTACCACTCCACTCTGGTCTCTGAAGAATTGTAAAGGAAATTTTACATACTGAAATAAATATGTACTAAACAAAATAAGTTATTCAGTATTAATAATTTTCAAATGCATTCCTACCAGTTCAGAATTTGAGAGCATACTTCACTGTAAACCAGGTGGCAAAGTATTCAGAATTATGAAAAATGCTTCCCCAGATTTAAATAAAATTTCTGAAACACTGAGAAATTTGAGTTTTTAAAGAAGCAAAACCACTATACTGGGTTATTAATATAATAGTGTTTTGAAATGAAAAATGCAAAAATTGCAAAATTCCAAGATACTACTCAAGTTGTGCCAACCTCTAACCACATCTAAAAGTCACCAGACGACTGCATTTTACAAGTAATCCTACAGGCCTGTCTGGTGGATTATTTACCTCACCCAGCATCAAACCTATTTCTTTACTCACATACTAAGAAATACTTCAAAATAAGCCAAATCTTACAATTATAAACATACATTTGTGTGTCCCTCAATGTTCAGTAGGCACCTTAGAGAAAATGATTCACAGTTTATGGTTATTTCTACTATTAGAAATATCAACAGTTCACACTTCCTCTAACACCCTCAAAGGCCCTCTTCCATCTTCCCCTTTTATACACATACCTAATTCCCTTCCCCACATTGTTGAACTGCTATTAAAAAGGATACACCCACTGCTTTATTAAAGGCTGGATGTCTTTGCCAGAGACATTTGAAATGGATTTCAAAAACCCAGATGTGGAAACCAACATCTGACTCCACATATGTGACTGGAACTTCTGTGATGAAGCAGTACTAGCCAGACTTAGCAGTTTATTGAAAACCTATTAGGATAAAAGCATCATTTAGTAAGTTTACATAACAGATCGCTTGGAATTGTATACTATACCCAGTTTGCACTATAACTTTATTATAGTCAATTCTAGAAGACAATAATTTCATAAATTATTATATAGATTGTTCTAGTTAAAGATACTAGCAATAGTAACATGCAAAGAATATAAAACCATTATTCATATAAACATTAATGAATGTTAATGACGTACTATACTAAGAATATAGTGTTTAAGAATTACAATAACAATACATAATACCTATAATTTAATGTGCTATGAGTTTTACATAGAAACTAAAAATTAAAAAGTTAATAATACTTGTTAGGATTTATACCACTCCAAAAACTTGAGTGGTTCTCTATGGACCATCTCTCATTTAATGTTTCTGGTCTTCATTTTAAATGCAAGGTGAAGGACAGAAGGACTAAAGAAATTTAAGGTCAAACTTAAAATGCTTTTACAAGAGATTATGTAAGTCGTTTTTTACCTACCTCTAAGAATGTTATCAATGGAAAAAATGGCTGCACACTTATAATACATCTGTTTTCCACTATCTGAACTATTAGATCGCAACTGTTTACACCAAAATTTGCTAAAAATACATGCCAGAATTTAGCAATTGCAAAAGTAAACATCTTTTAGATTGGTTTGTTTTCTACTGAAAGTATTTCCAAATGGCATTTCATCCTTAATATAATGCAGAATACAAAATCATATGCATAAATAGGTTTTACTTTCATCTCTACATTCTAATTTTATCTTCAAATCATGTGCTAAGTGCCTCAGGTATTGATACCCATTCTACCTATGAGGAAACCCAATAAAAAGCACAGGTTATTGCTAGGCACGGTGGTTCATGCCTTTAATCCCAGTATTTTGGGAGGCCGAGATGGGATGATCACTTGAGGCCAGGATTTAGAGACCAGCCTAGGCAACATACTGAGACCCCATCTCTACAAAACACAAAAATACTAGCCAAGTGTGGTGGTCATGGGTTCCTATAGTCCTAGCTACTCAGGCGGCTGAGGCATGAGGATGGCCTGAGCCCAAGAGTTTGAGGTTACAGTGAGCTATGATTGAGCCACTGCACTCAAGCCTGGGCGGGCAACAAAGTGGGACCCTGTCTCTTAAAAAAAAAAAAAAATTCTCTGGTTACTCCTAGTGGGCAAACTATAAACCTGATACCCTGACTCCTATTCTACAGAGTAGCATACAGATTATACACATATAGAACAGATCCTTACCATTGTTAAGTTCTTAACTTTAATACTTACTTGTAACATAAATTCCATACTGATCCTATTTTCAATCAATCTCATCACAAGGTGAGCTTTACACTGAAACATAGTGTAGTATTCCCAAGAAAGTGTGTGCGGATGCTTTATTGAAAAGTGTAGATGGGAAGCTGGACTAAAAAAAAATAAGAAGCTTTACTTAATATGACAAATTTGACTATTAAATAAACAATAAATTTCAAAGCTACATCAAGACAATACATCAAAAACTTCCTACCTTAGTACTAAGAAATATCTAAAAATAAACTTAACTGGAAGAAAATTCTGAAGTTTTACTAAAGGACATATAGGAAAATTTGAATAAATGGAAACAAATACCAAGCTCCTAGATGGGAAAACACAATACTGTAAATATTTCAATTCTCCCCAAATTCATCAATACAATCAATCAATGCAATTCCAACCAATATCCCAGCATTGAAGCATGCACAAAAATACATTCAAGACAGATTACATATGTAAAACAAACAAACAAAAACAATTATAAAAGTACTAGAGGCCAGGTGTGGTGGCTCACGCCTATAATTCCAGCACCTTGGGAGGCCAAGGTGGGAGGATCATTTGAGCCCAAGAGTCCGAGGCTGCAGTGAGCTATGATCATGCCACTACATTTCAGCCTGGGTGATGCAGTGAGACTATGTCTCAAAAAAAAAAAAAAATGTACTGGAGGAAATAAAGAAAAATATTTCTCTTATAATTTTAGGGTGGGAAAATTTTTCCTAAAGAAAAATACAAAATCTGCAAGACATAAAGACCAAAATGACTACGTAAAAATTAAAAATTCTGGTTAGGCGCAGTGGCTCATGCCTGTAATCCTAGAATTCTGGGAGGCTGAGGCAGGAGGATCGCTTGAGGTCAGGAGTTCGAGACCAGCCTGAGTAAGAGCGAGACCCCGTCTCACTAAAAATAGAAAAAATTAACCGGGCAACTAAAAATAGAAACAAAAGTTAGCTGGGTGTGGTGGGGAGCGCCTGTTGTCCCAGCTACTCTCAGCCCTGGAGTTTGAGGTTGTCATGAACTAGGCTGATACCATGGCACTCTGGCCCAGGCAACAGAGTAAGACTGTCTCAAAAAAAAAAAAAAAAAAATTAAGAAAAAAATATTAAAAATTTTGACATGATGAAAAAGATCAGTAAATTAAGAGAAATATATAGTCTAGATGAATTTATGACATATGTTAATATTTGTTTGCAATTTTTCACTATTCCAAATCATGTTATAGTGAATATCTTTTTACACTTGTGCAAGTATTTCTGTACAAGAAATATTCAAAAGTATAATTTCTAATGTGATCACATACCTAGAAGAATTGCTGGATATAAAAATTACCCATTCTAAAATTCTGATTGGTACCACCAAATTATCCTTCAAAAACATAATATAAAATTATACTCTCACAATCAATGTATGAGTGGTGCTATGGTTTAAATGATGGTGCCCCCTCCAAAATTCACATTGAAACTTAATGCCCAATGCAATAGTATTAAGAGGTGTGGCTTTTGGGAGGTGATTAAGTTATGAGGGCTCCGCCTCCATGAACAGGATTAGCACTCTCATAAAAGGGCTTGAGGCTGAAAGGATCGCTCTCTTCCCCTTCCATCCCTTCCATGTGAGGACACAGCCTTCTTCCCCTCTGGAGGATATAGCAACAAGGCACCATCTTGGAAGCAGAGAGCAGCCCTCACCAGACACCAATTCTCCTGGTGCCTTGATCTTGGACTTCTCAGCCTCCAGAACCATGAGAAATAAATTTCTATTGTTTATAAATTACCTAGTATGTGGTAAATGAACTATGACAAGTGGTATTATATATACTTCCTTCAAAATGTGGCATGTTAAATTTTATCAACCCAATATTTGAAAAATTATTTTTATATTTCATTTATCACTTCCAACCTTACGAGCTTATAAGCTTTAGCAATGAACAGTAATTTGGGAAAGGTTAAATAAATTCCAAGGTACAGTGGAACACTATTTAGCTTGTAAATGGAATGAAGTAAATTCATGCAGATAGTCAAGGTTTATCATATCATCTCTGAACAATAAACATACTTATCCTTCTCTTTTCCTCCACCAAATATGGGATGTAGTAAAACTCCACCAGTTTTTAGTTCATATGCCACTATTTTGTCTAGCTCCTAAAAAAGATATTAAAATAGGAGTCAGTAAAATTCGTAAAGTAAAATTTTTTATGTATCAAACTTTAGAACTAAACTGTGAATTCTCATTTTCTGGAATCAGAATGTAAATTTCTTAAAATAAGTGAAATATATTTGGAGAGTACTTATGAATTATAAATTTATAAAACCTACAAATTTGTAAAACTATAAATTGGATAGTTCTTATAAATGAAGCATACTACAAAGCTGGCAGAATGATAAGAGCCAAAAAGCCTTCTCTACTTTGTGAATTCAGGGCTGGCCAGGAACCTGCAATTTTTCCTTATGGCTCTTCTCAACCTCTCTGACCTATCTTCCAAGTTTATTTCTTCCTTCTCTGTATGATTTGGGCAAGTAAAAAGGAATCGGGATAAATCATGTCAGAAATTCATCATTTTAAAACTTTTCCAGTCTACTCTAGTATGATATAAATCAAAGCAAAAAAAAAAGGTTTAAGTGAAAAAAGATATCACCACAACTGTGTTGGAAATTCATGACTAGTTTAAATAATATACATGCAGGACAGAAAAGTGGTAAACAGCATAGTGAAGTAGTTAAAAGTAGTTAAAAGTTTGAATATTTGCTCTACTACTTACTAGTTGCTTACTTACTACTTATTGACTACTTTGACCAAATATTTAACCTCCATGTACCTCAGTTTCCTCATCTATAAAATGGGCATAGTAACAGGATAGTTGGGAGAATTAAGATTGTTAATATTTATAAAATGTTTATAACAGTGCCTGACACATTGTAAGTATTGCTATTTTTTTCCTTTTCTTTAATAGTTTCTGAAATGAAGAATGGACTCTTCCAGTTCTAGATCTTTTCATAAGTTTAACAGGATGCTTAGAGTTTTTAACTTTTTGGTTGACTTGAGTTTATGCTTGGATGATAAAAATACATAAAATAAGAAAAGCAGGAAGATGATGGGTTTGTTCAATGAAGCAATTAAAAGTTGAGATTATTCTACCTGAGAAGGAAGAAGCTAAGCATGGTATGATTAAAATATACATGTACATGACCAAAATGGGCTAAGCAAACTACAGTTGATTTTTTTCTTTTTGGCCAAAGCTTTAAATCGTAGGAGAAAGATGTGACAATGACAGAGAACATAAATGTATGCAAGGACTAGGCAGCAGCATATACTATGTGCAAAGCACCATGCACATTACATGCATAATGTCTCACAATCCTATCCATGTGGTAGATATCCATTGCCCTCCTTACACAGATAAGGCTTGGAAAGACTATCAGAGTCACAAAGCTAAAGAAATTTAGAATCACAGTTATAAATTACTCATGAGGAGCTGAGACATATCTAACAAGCAATTTGATGGTTAAGGAGATTAAATGGTCTCTTCCTTAGGGGGAAAAACATCTTTAGGGGCCAACATTGACAACGGAAGTTAGATAAAATATACTTTAGTCTTCTCAGTAAAATGATTCCTGTTTTGCCAGGAAAAATTAGGGACTTGTAACTGACGTTTTCAAAGTATTTTACGATCTTTAAAAATAAAGGACTCAAAACTTGGAAATCAGGAGAACACTAACGTGTCTTACTGACTTATTAGTAGATAATGGACCTCACTGTTGTTACCTCTTTAATCCAATGGCGGTATTCATTAACACCAAAGGTTTTCTTCATCCAAAGTCCATAAATATAGCCTGAAATTCCCTTCAGTACCCATTCATCAGACCTAAAGAAAATATAAAAATATAAATGACTTTCAATC